ACCAGATAGTCCAACAGGGTCTGGGTGGCCACCATCTTGGTGTGAGGTTGTTCATGCTTGGTAAGTACCTCCATTACACAATGCTTGTCAATTGTACACTACTCTAGTTTCAATATTCTAATTCTTAAATGCACACTGGACATTCAACCAAAATGAAAATAGTGAATTCCTCCTCTGAGTTGGGCACTAGGTGAGGCCTTTGTTAAATGAAATAATCAGAGTTTTGTTGAAATACCAAAGTTAAACTTTGTTCAGCTTGTCAAATTGATGATTTAAACTAGAAACAGTGGCTGGCACTGTAGCATAGCGGGTAAAGCTGTCACCTGCAGTGCCGGCATCCCATATGGGCCGCTGTTTAAAGTCCCTGCTGCTCTGCTTCCTATCCAGCTCTCTACGAATGTGCCTGGGAGGGTGGCAGAGGGTGGCCCAGGTGTTTGGGCCCCTGTACCTGCATGGGGGACCTGCAGGAAGCTCCTGGTTCCTGGCTTCAGATTGGCTCAGCTCTGGCAGTTGCGGCCATTTGACGAGTGAACCAGCAGATGGAAGACCTCTCTCTCTCTCTACCTCTTTGTAGCTCTGCTTTTCAAATAAGATAAATAAATCTTTTTTTTTTTTTTTTTTTAAGTATGAAGACAGGGGCCGTCGCCGTGGTACAACAGGTTAAAGCCCTGGCCTGATGCGCTGGCATCCCATATGGGCGCTGGTTCTAGTCCCAGCTGCTCCTCTTCCGATCCAGTTCTCTGCTATGGCCTGAGATAGCAGTACAAGATGGCCCAAGTCGTTGGGCCCCTGCACTCACATGGGAGTCCCAGAAGAAGTTCCTGGCTCCTGGCTTTGGATCGGTGCAGCGCTGGCCATCTGGGGAGTGAACCAGCGGATGGAAGACCTCTCTGTCTCTACCTCTCTCTGTAACTCTGTCTTTCAAATAAAACAAAATCAATCTTTGGCAATGACTTTTTATTTAAAATTTTTTATTTATATAAATAGAACAAATTTCATGTATTTCATACATAGTTTTAAGTACACAAGGATACTTTCTACCCAATCCTCCCTCACTCCCACTCTTCCTCTTGATTCCTTTCTTATTTTTCTTTTGATTTTTGTGATAATATACCTTTCCTTTCTTTGAGTACAAGTTTTATCATTAGTCAAAGGACCACCTAAGGAAACTAAAAACAATCAGTCAGCTGCCTGAGTTGACTGTTCCGCAAGCCCGAGTTAGGTTACAAATTCTATTTTTCTTAACAAGGTGAGTGCATGCATTGAGTCAGGTTTAAACAATACAGATTTATGTGTGATTATCAATCACACTGAAAATTGAGGTACATCTGGTAGAACAGATTGGTGTCACCTGGCAATTAACAGATTGGATTACTGATTAGGGAGGTTCATGACATTCCCACACTTGATGTGGATACAGTCACATGCAGGGAGAGGCAAACAATGGGGTCCTCCATCAATCTTCCAGCAATGGCTCTGAGTCATAAAGCTCGCTCCTTCTTAAAGGTATAGTAGGTGTTTCCTTGCACATGACTGTGTTTTCTCGAAAGATCCTGCTATGGGGTAGTTGCAGAGACCAACTGCACGGGGTCTTCATGGCCCAGGCAGCAATCTGGCTGATTTAGGCCTCTTCGGTCACTGTTTGAGCCCACATCTTGGAAACTAGGTGAGCTGAGGCTGCAGCACAGGCTACGATCTTCCTTTTCTTTTGTTCTCTCACGGCTACTGCGGGGTGGTGTGTTCCTTTATCTGTGCTTAGAGTGAACGATCTAGGTTCTCTTGTTCAGTGACAAGAAAATGAGGGAAAGTTGGGAATAAGGAATGGAGGATAATGGAAAGAGGAGAGTAGAATCACTTTAATACAATTATCAACAAGAACCCCATCTGGGCCATTGTTGTGGCGTAGCAGGTAAACCTGCTGGCATCCTATACAGGCACTGGTTCCTGTCCCGGCTGTTCCACTTCCAATCCAGCGCCCTGCCAATGACCTGGGAAAAGCAGTAGCAGGTGGCCCCAGTCCTTCAGCCCTTGCCATCCATGTGAGAGACCTGGAAGAAGCTCCCAGCTCCTGAATTAGGCCTGGCTCATTCCTGGCCATTTGGGGAGTGAACCAGCCGGTGGAAGATCTCTGTCTCTCCTTCTCTCTCAAACTCTGCCTTTCCAATGAATAAATCTTGAAAAAAAAAAAAAAAAAGGGCAGAGAGAGACATACAGAAAGAAATCTCCTATCCTCTGGTTCACTTTCCAGATACTCCAGCTGGGCCAGGCTGAAGTCCAGAGCCTAGAACTCATCTTTCATATCGGCAGTAGGGACCCAGCTATTTGAGCCATTATCTGCTGCCACACAGAGTGCACATTAGCAGGAAGCTGCATCAGATACTCCAGTATAGGATACAGGTGTTCCAGTGTCTTCACTGCTGCACCAAATGCCAGCCTAGAGCTGTTATTTTCAAAACCATCTGATTTAGTGGCTACAATCACACTTGCATTTTTTGAACTTTTTTCCTCAGACACAGTCCCAATTTGCTTGTTTTTCTCAGTCTGTACTGTCAAATTGTCTAGCCCTTTAGTGTTAATCACTCTGTTCCCAACATGGAGCATTGCATGATTCAGAAGAGACTCTTAAACGACCCACAGGAGTTTTAATCATGGCATGTTACTGAAACTAGATGACAGGCTTTGTTACATCCCCGGTTGGCATTATCTTATTGAAGTCTTAGTGCTGAATAAATTACTAAAGCATCACAAAGATAACTGGACGCAGAACAAAACACCCAGTAGTACCCATCTGTGTGTCTATGCCAGGGTCCACTTCTGCCACACAATTTGTCAGTAATTCTAAGAGGTCAGAGGTGAAAGACAGATGAGAGCAATTAGTCTAGCCTTTTATGCACAGTTTCCTGTAGCGTTTTCTCCATAGTGATTTTAAAAGACAGAAAAGGAAAAGCTGCACAATGCCTGGCTGTTTGTAGGGAGAGTTATCATTAAAGAGAGATAATAAGTGTTGCAAACCACACATAGCAACAGGAGCTTAGCTTTTGTGTCTTGGTTGCCAACAGCTTTCAATACTACGGATCCGGACCAGAGTCATTGGAATTCAGGTGAAGAACTTTGCAAACATATTTTTGGAAGCAAAGCAACCGTGGACATGGGGGCACCCGAGTCCTCACCTCCTTGGCCTTCGACCCCTGTGCTGGCTGTGACACAGCACGGTCAAGTGGCGGATTTCAGATGATTGCAACTCCTGGGTTGTATCAACTGCCATACCAAGGCCAAATTACACAAGAAAGCTGCATTTATCTTTTCAAAGCTCCCCTGCAAGGGCCAAGGGGGAGGGAAAATACCATCTTTTGTGGGGTGAAAAGATCTGAATTGCTTCATTTCCTCCCAGGCTGCTCTCCTTGGGGTAGTCAGAGTTACACTCCTGAAAGGCAAGTTGGAGATGCCAGGTGGTCTACACTGCCTTCCTGTCAGAATCCAATGCTCTAGCACCAGCGGTCACCCAAGGCCACTGGCAAATAGACACGAGAACTGGGCACCTCTGCCTGCAACTCCAAACCTTCTCAGCTAAACCCCGACAGAAATCACTGCCCCTCCCCATCTACCCTCCCCTCTACCCATCCCAGCCTGCAGTTCTGGGAGATGCTCACTATCCCCAGGGCTCTTGAAACCTGATCCCTCCATTCTCCTCCTAACTGGGTCCACAGGATGAGTAAGGAACCTCAGAGCAGTTCGTGGAGCTCTCCAGGACAGCAGTCAATCCAGCACAATCCTCAGTCTCCCTTTGGGGTGCTGAACTGCTGAGTGGAAGCTCTAATCAGAGAGGTTGGCAGCGCACTGGGCACCTAGTAGGCGCTCATTGAACGTTTGCACACACTCGGGGAATAAACTCCTTTTAAATTTAACACACATGCAGGTCGGTGCACCCATCTGTATTGGAGGAGCAGAGACCGATGGATCTGCACACACACAGACACACACACACACAGTAGATGGGGGTGCCAGTTCCCCACCAATTTTTTGACGGTCCCCTGTAATACGACCACCCAGGTGAGCACAACAGGGCTGTGATTGCTTGGGACTGACCCCCATCCTTTCCGTGAGAGGGGCTGGAGGCTGGTGGAGCCCTGGGAGAGGGTATGGGGGTAGGATCTGTCTGGATTCGTATTGGCAATCCTGAGCATTGGGGGAGGGGCGCTTTAGACTAAAACAAGAACCGGGGGATTAAGGAAGAGATAAATTTAAAATGCAAATAGTGAAAACTGAGCCTCAACCACAGCCTTTCCCCCTGCCCCTACACTCGACCGGAATCACGGGGCAGGGCGGGGTGTGGGGGGGAGGTGGAAGAGGTCTCAGCACACCAGCTTGTCGACGGCGGAAAGAACCGCAAACTCGGCGAACCTTGCCGGAGCTGAGCAAAGGCCCAGCAGCTCTCCAGTCTTCCGCTCACCCGGGCGCGGCGCACGGCCGAGCCCGACCACCAGATCGCAAGCGGAGGCCGCGGCACTCCTTAAACGACCCCATTATTTTATTATATTTTTTCCTTTCTCAGCCTAGCACCCGTGCATCAGCGCTTTATTCCCCGGGAGCCCTAGACCTCCACTGTGGTCATTCGTGCGGGCGGTTCCCACACTGGCACTGGGGGGTCGGCTCGGGAGGAGGGTGTTTCAGAGGCTAATTGCGCTGCCCCGGGAAGGGGGCGCCCGGAGAATGCGCTCAGAAGCTGCAGAATGGGCGAGCGGTGGCCCGGGTCTGAAAAGGAACATAAAGGGAAAATGTCCCCATTTATTTCGCTCTGGCCGGGACTCCCTTGTGGATAAGGGAGAGGGAGGCGCAGCCGGGGGTAAGGGGGGGGTCTTCTTCCGTCGGCCCCTGGAGAGGGCATCCGGGGCGCCGCGCTCCCCGGGGACGCCGCCCAGCCCCTCGGCGCCCCGGCCCCGCCCCTGCGCGCACTTGGCCGCTCCCACTTCCCCCGGGCGGCGCCCCCGCCGCGGTCCGGGCTGACGTCACAAGACAGCCAGCCGCCGGCGCCCCACGGTGCGCACCCCGCACCGGACCAGCAGCGGCGCGCAGCTCTCGGCGCCGACCCCCGGGCGCGCGCGTCCTCGTGCCCGGGCCCGTCCCCGTCCGCGCCGCTGAAGATGGCGAGCCCCGCGCCCCCGGAGCACGCTGAGGCGGGATGCCCAGCTAAGGAGAAGGCTCAGGAGGCGGCGGCGGCAGGCGAGCGGCCGCAGGTGGAGGAGGCCGCAGGCTGGGTGGTGGCCACCGTGACCTGGCTGCTTGGGGAGCCTGGGCTGTGGCTGGGCTGCCGCGCCGGCGAGCTCCTGAGCTGGAGGAGGCCGCTGCGCAGCCTGCTCGCCTTCGTCGGTGCCAACCTGCTGTTTTGGTGAGAGCTTCGGCGGGGTGGGGCGGGGCGGGAGGGCAGTGACCTTGGGGCTCCCGGGTCGAGTGGAGGGGGGGCGGCGCCGGGCTTGGGGGTGCGCGCCCGGCGCTGTGGGGACAAGTCCAGCCCTGCTCCGCTTTCTCAGCCACCTGTCTGGAGCAGGTGGAGACACTACCATTTCCAATTCGCTTCAGACACACTTCCCTGTTGGAAACAGTTGTCTCATCCAAGTGTGTATCCGGCCTCCGACGGCCAGGTGGCCGGCCGACCCGCGTGCACCTGTAGGTACAGGTGTTTTCTGCGTGCTCAGAAAACTTGGGCCCTGACCCCGTAAAACTCGCAGGTCTTGTTGACCTGCTGCTCGGAGCGTGCCGCAAGCGGAGGTGCTTGAACTTGGGTCGGTTCTTGCATCCTCAGCGGGCGTATCTGGACCAGCCCGGGCACGTGCTCAACACAGCGCCGCCTGCATCAACCACGGAATGATGTGTTTTTCCTGCCCCTGGAGGGTTGTGTTTGCTGCTTTTGCTCCCTTTTGAGAAAAGCAGGCGGCAGACAGGTAGGTTTTGCACATGATCCCGCCCCCGAGGTGTGCACAGTGGGGAAGCCGGATGAACCTTAGCCACGACGTTCCTTAATTCGACACTGATCAACAGGTTTGTCTCTCCCAGGTGAGGTCGGGGAGGTGTCTGCCTCTTTTCCTGAGGGAGGGGCTTGTGATCTCTTTGCAGGCTGCTCGTGGGCGGGGAAAGCTGCCTTTGTTTGCTGTTTGTCCTCATAACAAACTTGACCCGCGGAACGCAGAATAGGCAGCAGCCTTAGCACCTTCCTGTAGGACGCTTTGAGAAACAGGCACCTGAACAAAGCATGCACAGCCGCTCATTTTCCAGGTTAACTTGATCGATGTGAAGATTTTCCTGCAGGTCTCTGCTAGTCCTGGCTTTCTTTTACCACAAGCTGTATCTTGTCAGGGTCCCTGAATGTGACTTCACTTTGGGTCTCTTAGCTTTGCTTCTAGAGTTTATCCCAAGTGCTCAGGTTGGGGAGTGCTCAGTTAGGAGCTTTGTATTATGCTAGGTGGGCCAGTAGTCCCATAGTCTTTTTGGGGCAATGTCTCTGTCATTTTACCAATGATAGACATGTTTTTAAAATTGTCTCTCAATTTTAAATTTTATTTTAAAAGTACCTATTTCAATCTAACAGTTAAAAAGTTTAAAAGTACAAATAGTTAATGTTTAAACTGTCTCTTTCCCATGCTAGTCCCTGGTTCCCGGTTTCCTCCCAGAGGGAACCAATGTTACCAGTTTCCTGTGTATCTTTTCAGATAGTGTATTTCAGCAAATATACAATATACACATTTGTGGAATACCATCTGGGCTGTGCTTCCTAGTATATCCTGGTGATCAGTTCCTTTTTTATTGGCTATATGGAACTCCACTGTAACCATGTCTCAAATTATTTAACATGTGCCCTACTAAGGCAGAGGTCATTTCCAAATTTGTGCTGTTTAATGATGTTGCTAATGGCCTTGGATGTGTATCATTTTGCAGATATTCAAGTATTACTATAGGATAGATTCCCAGAAGTGGAATTTCTGGGTCATAATTTTTTTTAAAGATTTATTTATTTATTTATTTGAAAGTCAGTGTTACACAGAGAGAGAAGGAGAGGCAGAGAGAGAGAGAGAGAGGTCTTCCATTTGCTGGTTCACTCTCCAGTTGGCCACAACAGATATAAACTTCTTCCGGGTCTCCCACGTGGGTGCAGGGACCCAAGGACTTGGGCCATCTTCTACTGCTTTTACAGGCCATAGCAGAGAGCTGGACTGGAAGTGGAGCAGCCGGAAATGAACCAGCGCCCATATGGGATGCTGGTGCTGCAGGCGACGGCTTTACCCGCTATGGCACAGCACTGGTGTATCACCATGCAAGTATGGTACTTCCTTGGGGTTCTACCAGTTGTACTCCCAATAGCATTGTGTAAGGCTGCCTGTCTTTATAGACTCTTGCTAAGATTATCTTTTTTTTATTTTTTTTATTTTTTATTATTTTTTGACAGGCAGAGTGGACAGTGAGAGAGACAGAGAGAAAGGTCTTCCTTTGCCGTTGGTTCACCCTCCAGTCCGATGGCAGGAGCCAGGAGCCAGGTGCTTTTCCTGGTCTCCCATGGGGTGCAGGGCCCAAGCACTTGGGCCATCCTCCACTGTACTCCCTGGCCACAGCAGAGAGCTGGCCTGGAAGAGGGGCAACCGGGACAGAATCCGGCGCCCCGACCGGGACTAGAACCTGGTGTGCCGGCGCCGCTAGGCGGAGGATTAGCCTAGTGAGCCGCGGTGCCGGCTAAGATTATCTTAAGAAACTTAAAAAAGTTTTTTTTTTTTTTCTAACTTTATTTGAGAGAAAGAAAGCGAGCGAGCGAGCATTCATCCATTGATTCACTTCCCAAATGTCCAGGCTGGCCAGTCCTGGAAGCCGGGAACTCAGTCACAATGGTGGCAGGGACTCAACCTCTTGAGCTGCCTTCCAGGGTCTGCGTGGGCAAGAAGCTGGAATTGGAGCCAGAACTGGGACTCAAACCCAGGGACTTTGATATGGGATGTGGGAGTCTGAATGGCTAGGGCAAAAGCCTGCCCTTTATGAGACCTTTAGGTCTTGTAAATCTAATAGGTAAAAAATAATATCCCAATATGGTTTTAATTTGAATTTCCCTGAGATTATTTCTTATGTTCAAGAGCCTCTATAATAATATTTTTCTCTGCATTTTCTGTTTATAACTAACCTTTGTTTTTTTTCAATTGGGCCATTGATCTTATTGATTTGTGGGAGCTCTTTTTATTTATTTATTTTAAAGATTTATTTGTTTATTTGAAAGGCAGTGTTACAGAGAGAGAGAGAGAGAGAGACCAATGACTGGAGCTGGGCCCATCTGAAACCAGGAACTAGGAGTATCTTCCTGGTCTCCCATGTGGGTGCAGGGGCCTAAGAAATTGGGCCATCTTTCAGTGCTTTCCCAGGCCATCAGCAGAGAGCTGGATCAGAAGAGGAGCAGCTGGGACTCGAACTGGCGCCCATATGGGATGCTGGCACTGAAGGCGAAGGCTTTACCTGCTATGCCACAGTGCCAACCCTGGGAACTCTTTTTATGTTAAGGCATTAGCCACATACCTGTAGTGATTTGCGGACATTTTTGGTATGATTAATGCTTTAATAACACTGGTTGAAAATTGTGATTTTTTTTGAATAAAATATTTGAAAGGCATATTTGGTATTATTCTGGAGTAATGTCTTCCATTAATGTTATTTATAATTCTCATGGAGGGAAACCTAATTGCCAGCTGTTCAATTTAGTTCTAGCCTCTCCTGATGTTTATTTATTCTTATGGATGTCCCATTTGCATTCCATGCATGGATTTTCTTTGACAGAAAGATAACAGTCCTGCTGTTTAAATTCTGAAATACTTGCTGCTTTTGTATTAAAATCCATTGTGGATTAAAATCCATTGTGTATATTAAAATCTTCTGTGGCTTAATGGATAAAGCCGTCGCCTGCAGTGCCAGCATCCCATATGGGCACCAGTATGAGGTTTGAGTCCCAGCTGCTCCTCTTCTGATCCAGTTCTCTGCTATGGCCTGGGAAAGCAGTAGAAGATGGTCCAGGTCCTTGGACCCCTGCACCCACGTGGGAGGGCAGGAAGAAGCTTCTGGCTCCTGGCTTCGGATTGGCCCAGCTCTGGCCGTTGTGGCTGTTTGGAGAGTAAACCAGTGGATGGAAGACTTCTCTCACTCTCTGCCTCTACCTCTGTGTAACTCTGCTTTTCAAATATAAATAAATAAATCTTAAAAAAAAAAAAAAGATATGTCCAATCTTGGCCTGAAGACTAGGCTGTACTGTCTTTCATTGTTATTTAAAAAATCGATTGGAATTTGTATTTCATTTATTAATTTCATTTAAAATTTTTAGTTTTCACTCCATCTGTTATTCTGGGGCTAAAACTGTTTTCAGAGGGTTGAATTTTCTTTAAATAGTGCATTTCTTAAATTATGCCAGGCAATGTGATAGTAATTCTATGTCCCAGGAATTCTATGGGACATTCTATGTCCCAGGAACTCTGAAGCATTGTATTTTCATGAGAGAAACAAAAAGACTAGTGTTAGAAATATGAAAAACCCAAATCTTGTCTTAAGCAATAGTGATATTTTCACTTTAATTGGTATTTTTCATTTTTATGGATACCAACTTTTAAAACTTTTTTTGAAATTCTTTAGTACCTGGTGATAGTGGTAGCTTTCAAGAGTTTGAAGTTTAAACTTTACCCACGCATCTGGTGTAAGATTGTAGTGCAGTATGCTACACGGATAAAGCTGAGACATGACCATGACAAGTGGTTATGACTCAAGGTTGCCTAGAACAGGTGTGATAGAAGAACCCAGGTATCAGTCTGCTTTTTGTTACTGTAGTGAAGTATCTGATGCAGTCTAACTTTATAAAGAGTAGAAGTTTAGTTAGCTCCTAAAAGTTGTATAGGTTCAAGGCTATGGCATTAGCTTAGCTCTGGTGAGGACTCATGGCAGGTGGTGTTACTGTGACTCAAGTACCCGTGGGAAGAAGAGCTCATTCACCTGACAGGAGCCTGACAGCTGGGTCGGAGCCAGGCTTGTTCCTTTGATAACAATCTTCTCTCCAGAATTATCCGGGGGCCCCCTAAAGACTACCTTAACTCCTTGCAAGGGTGCTGTCTTCAATGACCTAAGGACCTTCCCCTAGGCTTCAGCCCTGAAACACTCTCTACTACCTACCTACCTACCTTTCTTTCTTTCTTGATTAATTTCTTTCTTTATTTATTTGAAAGGCAGGGAGAGATCTACCCTCCTTTTGCTGGTTCACTCCCCAAATGGCCGCAATGGCCAGGGCTGGGCCAGGCCAAAGTCAGAAGCCAGGAGCCTCCTCCAGGTCTGCACGTGGGTACAGGGGCCCAAGTACTTGGGCCATCTGCTGCTGCTTTTCCT